CTGCAGCTGTCTTACGGCCCGTTTGGAGAGGCCAGTGAGCAGGCCATTACAGTAGTGCATGTTCGATACTTCAGTCTGAAATCAGCATAAACATGATTTTCATTTTTGCTCCTTGTGTGTTTCTGCAACAGAAACGACTTTGTGTCCATGTGGTTCATTGGGATCATTTTCAAGAAAGTGGAGAATGCAGAGAGTGTGAACATTGACCTGACGTACGACATCCAGTCCTTCACAGACACTGGTAGGTCCTGTAATATCACTTTTTGTTGGTGGCCGAGGAACAACTCAATCAAACATTTAAAATAAAATAGGATACATTGTAAGACATTTAGTATACTGTATACAGCAAGTATATTATTACTATTTTGCTTTCTTGGCCACCACAGAATAAATCAAATTATTCCACACAGTATTCCTAATTACAGTAAATAAACTTTGTGCCTGGTAAGGTAATAGAGAAAATACACATGACTTTTTCCAATTTGAAAGACCTATTTTACTTTTATTAAGAAGGAGATGGAGCTACTTTTTTAGAGCATTTCCCTACATGTAAACTGAGATATGCTGCTAGCTTGTTTGAGTAAAGTGAGTGGAGGTTTAACATGTTAGAATCCTAAACAGAATTGTCACTAGGAAAATGTTACACAGAGGCAACCTGCTGTAGCATATGCCATAAAATAGCCTTAAAGGGATAGTGCAACCAAAAATGAAAATTCAGCCATTATCTACTCACCCATATGCCGAGGGAGGCCCTGGTGAAGTTTTAGAGTCCTCACATCCCTTGCGGAGATCGACGGGGGGAACGAGCAGCACACCTAATGGCAGACGGCGCCCCAGACTAACGTCCAAGAACACAAAATTGAATCCACAAATTATCTCCATACTGTTCATCTTTAGTGATCCATTTGTTCTGTAGCCTTGACATAAAAAGTTTTTTCTAAAAACGTCATATGAACTCTGTTTTTAGCCTCACTGTAGCCTGTAGCTCTGACTGTTTCTCTGTGCTCCGCATTCACGTGTGCACGCTCAGGGTGATTGTGATCTCTGAAGAGCAGCAGTCTCGTCAGTACTGATGTCCAGATTCTCAAGTGCAGGCATTTCCAATTCCCAGTTTGAGCAGCAAAGACTTTCCTCATCCGTTGGCATTGCTTTGCATTTGAAACAACTACACCACCAGGTTTCCAGTGCTCGACTCCGGTATTCTGCGGCTGGCTGAGGGTTAGGCTCATAAGCTGCGGCGGCTGCTTCGTCCAGTAGCCTGGGTTCCGCGTCCGTATACTCGGGCTCAAACAAATACAGCTTAACAAAGAAATTCTGTTCCTCCTCAATGTCTTCAGACATGTTGGGCTGTCCTTTGCTAAAAGACCGTAGTGCAAATGATCTTTTAGCTCTGTGGTACTGTTGTCTCTCCCTGCGGTGCACGTGTCACGTGATGTAAACACGGGTGAACAAAGCTCATGCTGTCACTGGTCTCGCGCAGGCGCGTACACGTGAACGCGGAGTACAGAGAAGCAGTCAGAGCTACAGGCTACAGTGAGGCTAAAAACAGTTTATATGACGTTTTTCGAAACAACTTTTTATGTCGTGGCTGCAGCACACTTGGATCACTATGGATTATCAGTATGGAGATACTTTGTGGTTTCAATTTTGTGTTCTTGGACGTTATTCTGAGGCGCCGTCTGCCATTAGGTGTGCTAGCCGCTCCCCTCGCCGATCTCCGCAAGGGATGTGAGGACTGTAAAACTTCACCAGGGCCTCCATTGGCATATGGGTGAGTAGATAATGGCTGAATTTTCATTTTTGGGTGCACTATCCCTTTAACACATGAGCTTTAGTTCATAGCAGAATTCAATCTGACAAAAACAGACAGTGCCAGGTTTAACAATGCACAAGTATACCTTCTTATCAAAATATTGCCCAATCCTCAGCCCTGTTTGGCAGCTCTTCTGTTACTTCAAGACTGCAAGAAATATTTGAAACTAGGCTTAGGCAATATAATTTTCATACCTTCCTGAAATTTCACTGGGGTATACAGTACATGACGGTATGAGTATATGGCACAATTGTACGCCTTTTGAATTCTCGTTTCTCTTGGTCACAGAACTGACACTGGCTTAATTGCCTCATTAACTCACACTTTATTCAGTCTCAACTGAGACAAACAAAACTCACCAAGACTGTCTTGGTTACTCTTGTTACTCATCCAGTTAGTTAGTCCGGTTCCAACAATCACCAACTCTGGTTTTGTCAAAATAAAGCCTTTATTCACAAAAGTAGATGCAGAAAACATGCCTGCTTATGCAGCCTGTGTGGCCTGGGCATTATTTCTCCACCTCTCAGTTTCACGGTGTGTTTTAGCTTAGCTGCCTGTTCCATCAGTGGAGATGGGAGACTGGCCTCTGGTGGCATGTGCTGCGCACTACGAACATGAGATTAATGGAAAGAGGAGCGCCTGTATTTTTGACGATATAGAAAATTGTACCATCGCGATTACATTACACCCTGGTATACTGTAATACCGCCCAGGCCTATTTGGAACTTGATCATTCGACTTGACTGAGTTAATATTGTCAGATTTTCAAATTAAAGACATGGCCAGCTGTCAGGTGGACTGTACTAATTAGAAAGTCAGACATGTTTATACATTTATGCCAGTAGTAAGTGACCCTAAACATGGCCTGTTCTCTGCAGTGTACCGACAAGCCAACAACATCAACATGCTGAAGGATGGGATGAAGATTGAAGCAACACATGTGAAGAAGAAACAGCTCCATCAGTACCTTCCTCCTGAATTGGTGCAGAAGAAGAAGAGGGTAAGATGTCTTCCTGTTCAAACACTTAATGGCTTTTGTCACAATGTGTAGTTTGTTCATTTCCCCTTCTCTCTCTCTTCTTTACTGCAGAGCATAGCTGAGTTGAACCGCAGCTCTAACGGGGGGAGCTCCAAGCGGCTCTCTCTGGACAGCAGCCATCTGGACAGCTCCAGAGACACAGACTCAGGGACTCCCTTCAGCTCCCCGACCATCAAACCTTCCAAGCCTGTGTCTGACACAGATGATGGGTATGATACACCTTTACTGCAGTTGATTTTTTATTTGTATATTTCTACCTGATGCATTTTCCCCAGATGTTCTATTCTAATACATATCCTATTTTTCTTGCCATGTATTATTATTTTTGTTATTACTTACAGTGCCCAGAGTCAGATCCATAATATGATGCTGAGTAAATGTCTTCTCTGTATTTTGCAGCGTCAGCCCTCCCAAGCAGCTTTTTGTGGAGGTCACTCCAGCACCCAGCGCAGCAGCAGCAGCAGCTGTTACAGACCAAGGCATGTCCATCCCTGTTATTGGCTCGAGTGAGTTATCTTTCCAGTGACCATTATAGATTCTATTTAAAGTAAAGTTAAAAAAAAAAAAAAAATCTTTTTGAAATAGGCCATGTAATATTTTAGCAATTTTAGAAAATGTCATAAGGCATAATGGATAGTCCCACTACATAGCCAATATACGTAATAACAACAGGGGTCCTACACAATATGGAATTTAATTTTAGTCATTTTAATGTCAGGATCATTATGGAAAAATACTTGTTTCCAGACTAGTGCCCCTATTCTGTTCAGAAATGAACTGATCATACAAGCAGAGTGTCTTTCATGGTGTTTGGAGCAGCCAGCGCAGCCAAAATGTTTACCACTGTGTGAGAGAGAGCAGAGCAGAGCAAGCTTGACGTCATAGAAAGCAAGGCAAGAAGTGAGGTGTGCAACTCAACACAAGCTGCTACACTGAGCTGCCTCTACACCTGTCTGTCACAGCCTGTAAAACAGCTCTGCCCCAGACAAGTGCCTTATAACTGAAATGAATCCATACCCATTAGTACTATGACCAAATTAGTTTGAAAGAAAATGCAACAACATCTTTAAATAGCATCATAAATAACCAATCAGAAAAGTAAGCAGACTATCTGAATGAGGAAACCTTTAAGGCTCCTTTCGTTATTGAAATTTTTTCAACTCATTTTTTGTTGTTATTTATAATTCTAATTATAAATTAAAATTATTATACTTAAAGATTAAAGCGACTAAAAATATGGAGGGAACAATAATATAATATTAATTTAATGTGTTAAGGGAAAATAATACAAGTATAGGTAACACTGGTTAATTTACTTCCTCTTGGGTAAGACACGTTTGACAGTGGAACGTCATCCAACTTTCTCAAGTGAGTGTGGACTGACTGGCCACAATGGGTAAATGCATTTGCGCTCAGATGTCTGCAATTTTATATGGAAAATGAAAGTATAATTTAAAACTCTTCAAATCCAGAGAACATTATTTTGACATCATCTAATTTCTTCTGGTCTGTCTCCTTCTCATCCTGAAGAGCCTGTGGTTAAAGCAAAGCCTCCTTCCCCACCAGCCAGCAGCTCCGTCACTCCGGTGCTGAGCGGGGATGTGCAGCCCAATGCCACCAGCAGCCCCAGAGAGGAGCCCAACGGCCTGGAGGACTCTGTTAATGGAGCTCCTGTCAAGAGACCACACTCACCCACACAAGAGGACCTGGCCAAGAGGCACAAAGACGCAGAGGTAAGGAGGACACGAGTTACAGTATCTGTGTGTTTTGAATACATGCGGTGTTGGATTTAAACTCAGTGGCAGATTTAATGGAATTTGTGACACTTTTTTCTGCAGGTGGTGTCCAATGATGACTCTGCATTTAAAGAGCCATATCCACCATCCTCTGATTCCTACCCACATGGTGAAGGGCACAATACTGTAGGTGTCATTTACTCTATCTGCTTCTAATAACTGTGTAATGCCTGACAAACAAAATGAACATCTTCACATTTTGTCTCTCTTCACCATCAGACCCCCCTTTCTGGATCAAAGGCTAAGCCCATTCCAACCATTGATACCTCAAGAACACAGGTAACGTCTTCTTTCTAAACCATTTAGCTTGGACTTGAATGGTTTGACTTTAATAAACACTGGATAATTACTTTCTCTATGTGGACTTTAAAGTCAAAAGTGTTGCTCATTATAATGTCCCTGTTTGTTACCTCAGAGACTTCCCAGCATGGAGCTGCCAGACGCCTCCTCGCCTCTCCCAGCCAGCAACAGTTGTCGTGTCGTGAAAAATTCCATTAAACTGGCCCTCAACCGCCACAAGTGAGCTTTAACTTCTTTCCCAGCACCATTGCAGCTATTGAAACTGTTGGTGTTTGATTTTTTTAATGCTGTAACTTTGGCCTGTCTTTTTCAATTCACTGTAGCATCACACCTCCAAAGCCCCCAGTGTTTGAGGACACGCTCACCACAGATGCTCCTGCTGCCAGTGAAGAAAAGGGCATGTCCATTCCAGTCATTGGCTCAAGTGAGTGCACAGTTTCTTTTTCAGTCAGTTATCAGTTTCTGTTTATTCTTTTATAGAATTTTTTTTTTTTTTTTTTTTACCAGTGTTCATTTTAAGGAAACTATGACCAAAAAAAAAAAACTTTTTCCCGAGACTAAATTAAAGCAACCATCACTGAAAAACTGACAAAAGAAATTACAGTTTCCATCAACCATGTGAAAGATGGACAAGTCAACATTAATGCAAAATCACACACAGTGTAAAGATTGTTAAACCAGTATCTGTCTCCCCAAACTATCTCTTCTCCAGCTGCTGGTTTAACCACTTGACCTGGCTTCAAAGGGTTACCAGTATTTGTCAACCTGAACTCTGTTTTCTCATGTTTTTGTGTCTAAATGACTAATAGGAACAACAAATTTTTGAAACTGGCAGTGGAAACATACCTCAGGTGGTTAAATTGCAGCCTGTTTTGCGACTGCTGGCTGCAACCCTCTCAGTCAGTACTGGACCAGTTTCAGAAATTGTTGTTCCCATTGTCACTTTGACACAAACATGGGAAAACAGGGTACAGCTTTTAGAAATAGCAAAGTTAGCCTTGAATGTAAGCTAATTTTATGTATGGACTAATCAGCCACACGAACATCACAACAAAAGTACACAACAAAGATAGTGAAATAATTAAAAAGCACAAATTAGACTGAAATAAACTTATGTTTAAAAAGTCAAATTACTAAGTGTGGCTATGGTAAAACTAATATGCACTGAAACTGAATCACTGAAACTGTTTACGCCAGGTTTTAACATGCATTTCGGATATCCGTACACAAGTGGGCAGCTGAGACACATCAACGTTCACACCTGTGTCTATCATGCGTCTCCAGCTGACCAGATTTTGTTCACGCTGTCTGTCACGTGTGCCAAATTGGCAAAGGTCCCTGCTCACAGTTATTTTGTACACACACTCTAGTATTCTCACTGGTCATGTTAGCAGTTGTATCAGTACAGCAGGAGATATCAGCAGACTTAAACATGTCTCCTTCCTTAGGGCTAAAGGATGGACAGTCACGCAACACTTTATCCAGCTTGTCATAGAGCGTTCGCACGCTGTCACCAAAACAACCACCATGTCCTGCATTGATGATTTCGTCTCTGTTGGGGACGCATCAGGACGCATTAGTGTTTACAAAACACAATATATATGGTCAAATGTGTGACCACCTCAGCAAGTGGTTTGAGTGATGGAATCGCAGTGGTGTTTACTCTGTGTTTAGTGCTGTGTACTTATGATTGGATCACCCAAGACACATGCTGACACCAGGTAGGAACAGGTTTAAAATGAACTGTTCTGTCCTTCTCTCTTTCTCTGTAGAACATGTGGCATCCAAACACCCAGCGCCCTCCGTCGGCAGCTCCATCCCCACATTAGTGAGCCGAGGTGCCGACCCACTGAACGGAGCGGCCTCCAAGAGAGCCCACTCCCCCTCGATGGAGGAGCAGGCCAAGAGGCTCAAAGAAACAGAAAAGGCCAGAATCCACATAGCTTGAACACACAACTCTAGACTGGATTCATACGTACAGAGTCGGGGCTTTACAGTTAAGTCAAACACCGAGAAGATGACTTCACACAGGGGCAGGGAGTGTGTTCAGGTCGGTCCATCTCAAGTGTGAAGCAGCAGGACGGACACCTCACCTCAAATCTTCCGAGATTACAGATTTGCCAGTGGATAGGTGATTCGGTCAAACCAGATGTCGTCAGCACCCTCTGTCACGCTCCCAGCCGGAGGGCATTTAACACAACAGTCCCGGAGATATCTGACATGAGAACTAAAGCGACAGTTTTTTACGCATCTTCTCCCTCATTGTTTAAAATGTACACAGTACAGATGGAAAATGAGCTGTTCTTTTCATTTTCCCATTTTTTTTTGTTTGTTTGTTTTTTTCCAGTTAACACGTTTTAAAACAGCCCAGAACAGTTATCGACGCTTGCTACACACACTTCTGGTGTATGCTGATTTTTTTTTTTTTTTCTTTAATTTTCCCCCAAACAGAAAACTGTACAGTAAATGTTGATGTACATAACTTTTTGTCTTAAAAAAAAGCAAAAGATCACTGTTAAGTCTTTTGACCATTCTATTGTAGTTTTATCTAAAAAGGAAAAAAAAAAAAAGTTTAAAAAATTGTAATTTTTTTTTTTTGTTTTTCTCGTGCTTGTCCAAAAAAAAGGTCTCCAGCCCGGGATATTTTTTGTAAACACTGTATAGGTTTGGATACAGTTGCAGGGAGGCTTTATTGAGGGTTTGCTTGGATATGATGGAAATGACAACAGTGACTCTTTGGACCACCACGACTACCCAAAGAGCACTCCAGGTTGGTATTGGACTTGCAGTGTGAAGGTGATCGTAGACACTCAGTGACATCAGGGCTTCTCAGGTGCAGGTAAGAGCAAGAAAATAACCCTTACCACAACAGGAAATGTCAGGCATTTTTCAGAAGAGGTAAAATGGGTCTGAAGCTTTATGGTTATTGTTTGGCTCTGTGAAGGATTAATACAGAAAATCAGAAGAACCATATCAACAACACCTAATCCTTCTGTTCAGTGTAGCTTCAGTGTTAAAGTGTCACACCTATTGGAGTAAAAGACCGTTTTCTGCTTGCATTTCCTGCTGTGTCTAAGCCCTCGATGCAAGATTGATGTGGATGACAAACAAGTGTTTGCTGGACGGGTTAGACGGTCACAAGAAAGTGTTTGAATATCAGTTTTGTGTATGTACCTGTGATTGTCTGACATCTAAAATGAATCTCTAGTCCATCAGGAGGGCTAAACAACATAAAAAAGGTCCTTTGTTCGGGATACTGCTCAACCCCCCCACCCCCCACCCCCACCAGTTCACCGTGGTCTGTTTGCTAGTGAAGCTGATGAAGCGAAAGTCCGGGTTGTTTTTGCATCTGTGTCCATGAAAGAGTTTGTGGTGCTTTGTGAAATGGTTAGAAGCTTTTTGACGAGTTGTTCTGGTTCGTGTGTGTGTATGCATGCGCATATGGTTGACTGTGTGTGAGCGTGCATGCATAGATGGTTGTGTTTATGTGTCGGAGAGAGAGACGGAATTCCCTTCGTTTTGGGTGTTTACCCTCTGCGCCTCCTGTGGAGGTTCTTAAAAAGCATCTCCTGAGGCCACGGGTGGGATGGGGGGGCAGGGGGTCAGGAGACAACTCTTTTCCTGCTGTAGGCCCCACCTTCCATCTTCACGGTCTGAAACTGGGTGACTGTTTGATTTCAGCACAGAAAATATATGTATACAACAAAGTATAAAGTGATGCTGACGAGGCACCTTCTTCTTCAGAGCAGGCAGAGAGACGCAGGGACGCAGGTTCTTTTTCCAGCATCGGTTTCCCCAGCTAAATGTACAGAGAACAGTTTTTTTCAAAAGGCATATTCTTCATTATTGGGGGTTTTCTTATCACTTTATTTATATTTGCATATTTGTACCATGTGATCTTTTTTTAATAGCATTCATAGCAGGTAGGTCTCTTTTGAATGAATCTGCACCACTCTGTTTCAGACAACTCATGTTATGCTGTTCGGAAACATTTAACAAAACAGGTCATTTAGATGTTTGTTTCTAAAATGTATTGAAAGGGTATTTTTGTATGTGTTTATCACTTCCTTTAAATGAGTCCGTACACCCATTAAACCCCTAAAAACTATGTCTGTGTCTGTGTTCTTTGTCACATTTATATATTTACATTGTTGTTTGAAGCTGTGCTGGCAGTAATGGGAGTTTTTATTACCTACGTGCTTTTTTCGTTTCCTGGAAAACATTTAACGTTACAGTACACTTAAATAGCAATGTATATCTCACTAATCAGAATTGAAAAATGACCTTTAAAGATTTCAACAGCTACTAACTCTGGATATTTCACAGATCTCACCACAGACCATTTCTACTGAGTAGACTGCGTCTTTTACTACTCCTCATTACACGTACACTTTCATCCCACATACACACGTATGTTTTCATAGATGTTTTCACACTTTGTACACATCCCCAGAATTGTTCCTAATTGTGTTTAACAATGAGATATAAAATGTACAAAATAATAATTTAATGTAAAAATGTAATCATCTTTTCATCTAACTCTCAACATGAAAGCTTTAGTGCAGGGGTGTTCAAAGATTTGATGACTGACAAGGGCCACACAGGAAAAGTACAGCCATGAGTTGTCCACTAAAATTGCTCAGTATAGCTAACAGCACTGGCATTGATGGCAGAACATTGACAAGTTGCCATCCCTAACCTGATAGACACTTGTTTGGGGGTGCGTAGTTTGATGCAGTGTAGTAGTGTATTAGCTGTTACTGAAAGTGAAAACATTGAAATGGACCACAAATGATTCAAATATAATGCATGTATTTCATGTCATGTTTAGGGGCTGCACAAATGTTTTTGAGGGCTGCCATTGGCCTGTGGGCAACAGTGCCTCGGTGTATGTCCCAAAATATCAAACTATTCCTTTAAATGACGGGTTTTCCAAAGATCACGTATACTGATATATAGTGATATGCACTGTGTATTATATAACAGATGGCTAGCTCTGCTACTCCAGTGTTAAACATGAGAGGCCCAGCTAGCTGGGTCACATACACAAAATGATCATAACTGTCAGTGTCCGTCATGAGCATGGACGCCAAGTTCCACCAGTGTGATGAAAAATTCAACATCCTGTAAGTCAATAAATAAACTTAAAATAATGGCATCGTGTCTCAAAATAATGACTCCATATTATTTGTCATTATTATTTTGAAGAGGTTTGTCTTTTTTTGTTTGGACATACTAAATCATTATTATAAGGTCATTATTTTTCAGACACAGAGTCATTATTTTGAGATGCTTTGTCATTACTTGTTTCATAGTGGCCCAATGAAACAACTGCGTGTGAGCGCTGCACTTTGAAGTTCTGGGTGCTCAGCTGTCATGTCCACATGACCATTTTTGTGCGGTCAAATTATTCTGAAACATTCTCAGCCAAAAACAGAGACACTTCCTGGATCAGTTTTGGTTCCTCTCTCACACAGGCATCGTGAGGCAGGTTTTCTTTCTTGCAAAAGGTTCAAAGTAAAACCGACAAATTCATTTCATCCTAAGCACCGATTTCAAAATAATATTCTTATTGATATATCAATTTGTATCTAAAAAAAAAAAGACAGACTTTCTCAAAATAATAGGCCTAACTTAATATCTCAAAAACAGTGACATGATACCAAGTCATTTATTTGAGAAAGCTTGTCATTATTTTGAAATGTTAAGTCATTGTTCTAAGTAAGAAAGTGATTCTTTTGAGATAAGATATTTTAAAACAAAGTTATTTTGAGATACTAACTCATTTTCATAAAGTTTCTTATTATTTTGTGATACTAAGTCTCTATGTATTTAAATAAGTGAATCATTATTTAAAGATTTTGAGATATTTTGAGACTCATTTTCAGTAAGTTGCTCATTCTTTTGAGATACTATGTCATCATTTTACGATTAAGTCATATTTTGTGATACTAAGTCCCTAAATTTTTAAATCAGTAAGTCATTATTTTATGATATATCTCATTCATTTGAAATACTATTTAACTATTACTTTAATACTACTACTTTTAAATACTGCTACTAATACTACTAATACTCTGGGTCCTTTTTGTTCATCACACTGGCAGTAAAGGGCTTCCATACTGAGCATCAGGCATCTGGCTATACATGATGCCTCACAGTGCATGTGGTGACATGCAGCAGATCTGTAGTACTGCTTACAGTATACTATATTGATCCATCTGACTGTTTAACCTCTTTTATTATTTGCTCTTACCCTTTCTCATGGCTTTTTCCAAACTCATGGCTGCTGCTATGTGCCTCTCCTCCATATTTTCCCTACAGCCGGTCTCCTATCTTGGAGTGTTGGACCTCCCTCTCCTCTGTAAGCAGCACTTTGGAGGGGCAGACAGGTAGTGTGCAGTGTGCAGGGGGAGTGGATCCTCTCAGCTCTGTCTTATGCTCTGTGCTGTGAGTCATGCAGCCTCTCATTGGTCAGTTCAGACTAAAGGGGTGGAGTCGAAGGGGAATTCCCCCACTGCTCTCTTCTAACAAATATTACTTTTCCTGTCCACTGTCACTCATTCAGCTCGAGGTTCTCCAAGAGACAATAACCTGTGATACGACCGAGAGTGAGAGTGTGTGCACCATGGATGGTGAGTAGCAACACCTTCATTTATTGTGTATTAATAACAATGCTAACTGCCTTAATGAGAGGATTAGGCAGAATGTAGTCTAATCATCATGTGTGTAATGTTAAAGAACATGTAGTACTGACTCAAGTGTGAGTTTAGAACATCTTCAGCCCAAATGTACGATAGCTTGTTAATAGTATGTGGCACTATTTATTGTGTGTTCAGCAACACTGAAACTTCCTCCTTGTTGCAATGATTGACGGTGTTATTTCAGTAAGTGTGAGTAATTACAGGATGGCTTTAGCAGGACTGAATGAGCTTACAAAACACAACAAATATCATTTTGTCATGTTATCACAACTAGTCAGGGTGGGTTTCATATCTAATTTGCACACACACTTTCCTAATTTCTTCCTATATGTCACATTTTCCTCCTCAGTTCTTATGCCCTCCATGCTAGGGGACGATCCACACCTAAGTAAGTATATCTTAATGCCTCTTCTTGTGTCAAAATTAGCTGCCTGTCTCCACAAGTCAAAACTTATAAACTGCCAAGCAGTGTGTGAATGCATTGCAGTGTCTTTCACTTCCTCATTTTGTTTTATTGGTAAGCATTGCCTTTTTCTCAGACCTGTGGTGTGTATGTGTGTGTGAGAGAGAACCAGAGGTTTTGGTTGTCCTCATGAGTATAGTTTGCGAGGTATGAGTTTATATATTGTGTTATAAATGTCTATACGTGTGAGAAACATCATCTCTCACTTCTGTGTTTGGAGCGTCCTTTGCTAAAGTAGCTGCAAAATGAGGAAGGCAGGACCTGGCCCAGCCACTTGTTTGACAAACGTACATTTCTTTATCAAGTCAGAAATGTAACAGGACTTGTTTCATACTGGCCCTACGTAACAACTGCGTGTGAGCGCAGCACTTCAGTTGAAGTGCTTGCTGCTCGGCTGTCATGTCTACACGATCATTTTTGTGCAGTTAAATTGTTCGGAAACATTATAAACCAAAAACAGAGACACTTCCCGGATCAGTTTTAGTTCCTCTCTCACACAGGCATCATGTGTTGCAGGTTTTGTTTCTTGCACAATGGTCAAAGACGAACTGACAGTCTCATTTAATACTTTGTTTTGAGTGCAGCATGGCTGAGATTTGCCTTTTTAGTAAGCGCTGATTTGATGATTTGCAGTTTGAAAGACACTGATACATGTAATTGGGCTAAATTTGATGCTGCAGGGATTTTAGACATCTAGGTTTCATGCAGTGTCGGGGAGTGGTTAACTACATGCAGTTCAATTAGTTTAACTACAATTTTACAATTAACAGTAGTTAGGTGGCAGTAAAACTACATTAAAATCTCAGTAGCCTTTTAAGGTGTTGGGTCATGCAGTTTGTGTAGTTAATTACAAACTACGTGACCTTTTTTGCCATTCAGTGGCACAATGCCACAGCTCATTGGAAACATTTGTCATTTAATGACAGGTGCCTACTATTTGACTAAAATCACCTCTGGTTTGCAACCAAGATATCTGCGATGGAATACTAAAAAAGTTAAGCATCTTTCTGTTTCCACCCCAACAATTGGCCCATATCCTCTCTTTAAAACACATCGAGGTGAGACGTGGCCTGCCCTAGTCTTTAAATCGAACATACCTACACTTTACTCAGTGTCAATTCAGTTGTATCTCCATGTAACTATATAAATGCAACATTGCTTGAACATGTTAGATACTGCATATCCTGGTGCTCTGAGATTTGTTACAAATTATAAAGCCCTCAGTCATTACTGTACGCTTTATTCCAGGGCAGGGCAGCCATCTTTGACCTTTTGTGGGCTCAGTCACTGGTATTTGTTCATTTATAAAGCCATACTGGGTAAACTCCCTTCGCACATTTCTACTTCGATTGAACAGAGATGTGACTGTAGCTCTTGTCCAAGATCCAGACTCACACTGTGATAACTTCCTGTGATTTAGTTTGGATGTAATTTTTTTTTTTTTGAGAGTAGTTAAAATGTAGTTTAACTGCTTTATTGTGAAGTTGCTAGTAGTTTAGTTTTACTGTAGTTTTTCTTAGCCTGGTTGCATGGAGCAGTGTTTCAACTATATGTAAGCAACTTGTCTGAAAACCTCGAAAAGCTTCAACTTTTCAATCAAGTTTTACCTAACTTTAGCAATGATGTGTGGAGTAACTGTAAATCACTAAATCCATGCTTACCCATTATTAAACCAGACAGTGATCGTTTTAAATCACTTTTACACAAGCATTTAGGCACATCTCCAAAATACAAAGAGAGACAAGAAACACTAAAACACAGGCTTTAGAAAATTAAAAAAAAAGTGCCATTTTCTGACATTTTGTAGAACCAAAATTTTGGCATCTTTTTGCCTTGTTTTGACCAAAACATCTAGACATCTTTTGACCTGCAAATTCAATACCTCCTGATCTTATTACATGTCAAAAATACGGTCAATAACCGTATTTACCTTAGCTCAAC